TGCCTCCTTCAAGACATTCGACTGTGGCAAATTCTGGACTTTCTTGAGCGCGCAAGCTTATGAAACCTGCTAGTTATTCGCAAACTTTGATCCTTTCTATTGCCTTTTATAATTGTAAACCTACTCCTGAGTGTTTCAATGTAATTAGTTAATTATTCACTGATCCTGTGTGGTAATATACTGATTCCACATGTTAGTTCTGTACGTTCCGATCCATGACACGAAAAATCCCATTTCCTGACGTTTGGTTTTATATATCCCTAGTTTGGAAATAAAAAAGGCACACATTTACACCAGTCTTCGTGGTACTGGCAGATTTGTTAGCTCATAAATGCCCGCGTCGGTAACATTTGGAATTATTTGGACAGCTTATGCTTTCAAACGTAATAAAATATTTCCCTTAAATTTCCGGGGACAAAAGTGGAGAGGACATTTCAAATGTTTTACGCACGTTTGTCATATATGTCGTAAGATTGGCATCTAATACGAATAACATTACGAGCCGAATCGATGAGTTGTGTTTCGCTTTGTTTCCTTTAATTACCATATGCAAACATTAATGTTCAGTCCAAATACATAGGATATGTAAGGACATATTACTAATTTCATCTCTGCATGCGCTTGGAATTCCTGCAGAGTCTGTATACAAACTCATAGCTCGTTAGTTTGGACAACGGATGCTGATTACATTCGTGAGGGATTTTCATTTGGGGAAGATGAAGCCTTAGCCTGTTTGTAACATGATCACAGTGGGCGATCTGAAATGTGGACACCAAGGTCTGGTGCTGCAGCAATGTTGCTCAGCATAAAGGGAAAGATGACTATTGGAAAGTCATCCCTCTTGTCATCCAGTCTCATAGAGAGTGTTTCGTCACTCGGAATCTTTAAGCATAAATCTGTATATGAAATAGATGAAGCTATCTCACGGGTTGGTTTGTTGTTTAACGCCTACGCCACTATTTGTTTGTTTTTTGTTTGTTTGATGCCGCACGCAGCAATATTCCAGCTATATGACGGCGGTCTGTAAATAATCGAGTCTGGACCAGACAATCCAGTGATTAATATCATGAGCATCGATCCACGCAACTGGGATCGATGACATGCATCAACCAAGTCAGCGAGCCTGACCACCCGATCCCGTAGAGCAGGACATGCTTAACCTTTTCACACCTGGTGTCATCACTGATTTACCTTCCTACATCACATGGTTTTATCTTGGTGTTTTTCAAAAAGGTGTAAGCGTCCACACAGTCACTCACGAGGGGCGGTCGGGTAGGCTAGTGGTTAAAGCGTTCGCTCGTCACTCCGAAGACCCGGGTTCGAATCCCGACATGGGTACAATGTGTGAAGCCCATTTCTGGTGTCCCCCGCCGTGATATTGCTGGAGTATTGCTAAAGCGGCGTAAAACGATACTCACTCACTTAATCACGAGTTTAATATACATTGTCAATTGGAAATCAAGAAGACCCGACACCGGATCTTTTGTGAGGCACTGATACATAATTCACGAAGGACAATTACGTTTCATTTATGACCTTGACGTGAAGAGGATAATGACCACTGCTCCTTGGACAAGAGGGTGATTGAGTTGAATTAATGCCGCTTTGGACGGTGTTTCACTGATACAACGCCATGTGACGTCATGTAGGAGGTGAGGTGAGGTGAAATAGGGGTTTAACATCGCGTTTATATAGCGACGTACATGTGTGGGTGTGGTTCTGGGTGTGGGTGGGTGTGGCTGTTTGTACGAGTCCGGGCTAATGCCGATTTTATTGTGCCTGCCCACTGAGACCCATGCCGCAGTTTACCATCAATAAACTAAACACAGTATTCTCACGCCGAGCCGATCAGTTCTTGTTTTAGCCCTAAAGCCAAGCGTCAGGCAGGGTAAGCACAAATACCATCTTTGACCGTGGGATCGAATCCCGGACCTCTCGCTCTCCGGGCAGACGATCTACCACTAGACCACGGATGCGGTCTTGTAAGAGAAGAAGCATAAGAGGGTGGAGGTGTAAGATGTTCATCACTTCCCGACACCAAGCAGCAAGGGTTGGTGCTGACGAACCTAGAAACCAAATCAGTTAAATCTAGGATTCGAACCCCTTATCATACAGTTTCTGGCACGTGTGAGATACCTACCAAAAGAAACACATGCAGGATTGGAGTGCTACCTTAAGTGACATTAGTTTGACTAAACACTTGCGGGAAGGGCACGACATGCTAACCCTTTTCTCGAAAACCCTGCGTCATCATATCAGTGATCCATTCATATGAATTAAGTTTGCCTTTTTTCGGTGATCCATACATATGAATTCAGCTTGCCTTTTCTAGAATTTTAGGTTTTAAAGTAAAAATGTCTTTAACATGGTAATAGTAGTCTCTTATTTTGTGTTGAAATAGAATTCTTTCATGTATTGTTAAATCACGTCCTATTACAAAGTCATCAAAAACGATGGGTTTGAAGAAGTTTCCGTCAAGACTCAAAGAAAACATACGTAATATTCATTGCATTTCTCAAACATGTTTAACACAATACACATATTCGCTTCCATTTCATTTTTTCAATGAGTCTTTTTCAAATGTTTGGAAAAATCTGTTTAGAACAAATCAGTCATACATAACAATGGCCAAATGAATACCAAAGCAGTATTTTGGCATCATCCATAATAATAGATACGGAAATAAGTATGACATTTGATATGAATCTACTTTGCATCATTAATAGATGAGCCGCATAAGCAAGATAATGGTATGTTACCCCCTTTAATGTTGTCCGCGAAACCATTTGCTAGACTTCTCTGATGAAACGACACCCGCAGGTATGTCAATGAGCGATTATCCGCAACAAGTCCACTGCCAGTAGTGAGACCCTTCCCTCTTAAATAGACTCGTTACTGTTGTCTGTAACTGGTCAAGCGTGTGTAAGCTAATGGAAAGATGCCATTTTGTACAACTTCCTTCCACAGGGATTGGATTACATGGGGTCAGTTCACAGCGGAGACACATCTACATGTAAGCCAGCTATGGTTCTAAAGAACTTAATTAAGGATTCATTTAGCTGCGTGGAATTTTGTTCATCTGTCCTCAAAGACATGACATATATCTAATTCCTTTTTAGGAAAGTAAAACAATTAATTAATTATTCTTTAAGCCTTTGAGAGGCATTAAGAAGTGATACACATAAGAATGAGAATTTATGGATGTCAACTTCTTTATGATGAGGTTCCATACATCCTCTTCCTTATTATTCTTAATAGGTATCTCAAACGCAATATGATGTTTTGAAGCAAATATGATAATCAGTTGGAAGCCTTAGATAGTCTTTCAGAGGAGATGTCTCACACATGAATAGCCGTGAATAGGTGCAGGCTTAATTGCTGATGCGGTATAAAACAGTAAGCACTCACTAACAAACTTCATCGTGTCTGGCAAAAACAGACGATGAACCATACCGTGACCGTCAGTAATTTTGTTAGAAAAATCGCAATGCATTAACAGAGAACTAAATATTCGCGTTTCTTTAAAAATAATGTAAAACGTCACGAAATTGATTACACTAACTTTTTTTTGTAGATATTTTAATAGTAAGATCTAAACAGTCAACACATCTGAAACATACCAGATCATATTGGTAGGATGTCTAAACTCATATGTAAATTATCGCTATTAATTATTATTTGAAATAATTGCCTTGTCATTCAAGGTCAATCAAGTGTTCCGATCATCTTGCGCTTACAGTAAATGTTACATTTATTCACAAGAATAACGCCTATTTTACATTCCAGTGACGTCCTAAGGGTTCACGCATATGTAATAATTCCAGAAATGAGGAAATATAATAACTTACTCATCAAGTAAACAAACATTCACAGAAATTACCTGAACGTTTGCCGCTTCCAATGATGTACAAACGTTTCGTTACGTGACGCTTTTATGAACAAGAAAACTAATTGTTGGTTTGTCATTTTTTGCATTTGGGATGCAGGTTAGCGACCGTGAGGATACACTTACAGCGTGAGGACACAACTCAACAACACGTCGCTTCTTGGACAGCGGCTACCAAAACGAACAGGAGGTGTAAATATGATCTTCTCGCTGTCATTAACATTCTCCCAATGACTGTAGGCCTAATGTTAATTCAGCAATACAAGGTACAATCAGGCACTGAAATTGCCGAATCTGACAGGAGTGATATTTTACACACAAGAAATATATCAGTGATATGATAATCAAGAGTACTGGAAAAAAGAATGTATTCGATATTTGATATTAAATTCTGTGATCTGATAGACGTTATCGTGGAAGTATCAACCTTCGTTGTGTTTACGTAGGTTTAGATATGTCAGATACATTGTCCATGAGCAAGCAGACTTTTGTTGTGGCATTTCTCACTTTTCGCTTCCTTGAAATTCGAAAGGCCAACCTCCCATTGGGTGTAAAAAGTTACCAACCCATAACTGACATATGATATTTATCTGATATCCAGCAGTTTATGTAAAACCATACATGTTTCTGTTTTGCTGTGTACCACGTTGAGAGCTTTTATGAAATTAAGGCTTCATGGATGGATTGATTGGTCCATTTTGTACTTGGGACGCAGGTTAGGGAAGCTTGGGATGTAAGTTAGAGATGCTTATACTATGGACACGACAACAGCAGACTTCTACTATCCATCCCTCAATGGACCACGACTATCACAAATTTTGGCAATATCGAACGAGAAAGCCAAGTGTGACACTCCGTGGCATAGCTGGCATAAAGTTTAAACTAAACATGATCCTATCGAGTACAGAACTATTGTTAAAGTCATCAGTAATTCAGAAGTAAAACGGTCAAATTCTGAATTTGATAGGAGCAAAATTTGACAAAAAGTTTCTGTTATCATTGATATGACAACGATGAATTCTGGAAAAGAACATATTATATTTACACAAATGTAACAGACTTCACTTTACTTCACTTCATGCACAAATCTCTACTCAACTGAAACTCAGCTTACCTCAGTCAGCAAACGCTTGTGATGTGTAGATAGTACTCGCTGCCTGAACTACCTGTTCCTCTCTGGACGAAGGGACGTCTCAACCAGTCAGAGGTACGCGCGCGTCTTTTGTCAGCACTTGTATTGATCTGAATGAGCCGAGGAGTCTAGGTAGGCAGGTATCGACCTGGGAGGTCTTTAAGCTTACTGGTACCAGAAACAACTGGCTTGAGAACATGCACACTCGCTTGTCTCCAATCACTGCGAAAAGCGTCAGATTTAGACCGAAGTCCTCCAGGAGAGGAACGAGGTGTCAGCTTGACGGGGTTATCGATGATGCTTTCCCTGCTGTTCATTTGTAGTTTTCTCAATGTATTCTTCAGAGTTACCGTGCATAACACTGATGACTCGAATATGATTTTCTTTTAAATCTCAAACTTGTCTGTGATGAGAAATATGAGTTAGCAAAAGCGCTTCGAAATCATATACTGTTTTAAGAAAATGGGTTCAAGTTAAACTGACCTTAAAATGTATTAATATTTTATCGTAGCTCTTCAAACGTATGTGTTACTACAGAATTCTTTACAGTTACTTAATATTCATCACATACATAACTAGTTAAGTCGTCAAAGAATATTGTTTAATCTGTTGTCTTATCTGTTAGTTCTATTCTTTATTCAATCATAATAACTTCCTGTATAGAATTAAGTCGAAAACAAAGAATTTCTCTTCAGTAAATATACTTGAATGTATAGCTATAAACGTCTTGTTCTGTCACACCATTTCCCCGTATTTCTCTCCATCACTCTCTCACTGCATCCACTCGTAAACGACTAATACCAGCATCACTTCGGGCTCTCGCACCAAGCTGACAAGACTTGATATAACATCACAGTTCAAAGCGGCGTTAAATCAATCTCTCACTCAATGTTTAGTAACAGATCAGTCTTCGCTTGCCCCAACTCGTTACACACACTCAAGAAGGGAGGACAGAAATGCTGTATATACGATAGGGACTATTTTTCAAATTGAAATCGCCGATGACAGAGAAACCTTTCCGTCTTGGTCGTACAATGATGACGGCTAGTGTCCCGAAGGTGCCGAGATGGACAGTGTAGTATAGTCGCAATATATGAATGAGTGAGTTTTGTTTAACGCCACGTCGAACAGTATTCTGGTTATATCACGGCGTGTCAGCTTAATGTTGGAGAAAAGCGAGAAAAGTGATGCGGGTCTTAAACAGTTTACCACTTTGGAGAAACCGCCGAACACGAGGATGGTGCTGACAACCAAGAAACATCATCAAGGTAAGTCTCCGATACGAACGAGCACTAATAGTGACCCGGTACCCAGACTGTTCGGTGCCTAATATGACTTGATCACCCAGCAATATGCATGTGTGTGAACAGAACACATTGTAAGTATGCCATCTTTCAGCAATATTCCAGCTATATCACGATGTTCTTTACGAAATCGAACTGGACAAAAAAATCAGACCAGGGATCATTCAATGTATGTATGTATGTGTGTGTGTGTGTGTGTGTGTGTGTGTGTGTGTGTGTGTGTGTGTGCCAGCCGTTTTAACCTAACGATACCTTTTTCATAACCCGAAAAATAAAAATATTACGTTCTGAAGATTGTGTAATCGAGCGTGAACTTTTTTTTAAGATTTCAAAGAGTGTCATATGACTCTTTTAAAAATTGTTTGATCAGGTTTACAACATTCAAGGAATTAGCAAAATATTAGAAAAGCAATAATATTCCTCATTTTGACTTGTAGCATATATTCCTGTGTTTATTGAGGGGGTGGGGGGGGGGGGGGGGTGGGGGGGGGGGGGGCAGGTGACACTCACCTTTTCGGGAACAGCTGGTGTCATCACTATTTAATAGTGATTCATAAACACATGCTCATGATGCAGTCGGAATAATGCAGATGTCTTGAGGTAAGAGGGTTTTGTCTCTTCTGTTTACTTCTTCAAAATGAAAGCGACATTGTCAACATTTGTTTTTACGATGTCAAATAACATGTATTCACACTATCAACAACGCTGTGCGATAATAGGTAGTACATTCGAAATTATTGTATCAATTACATACGTTTGAAACAATAACGGGATCGGGTGATCAGGCCCGCTGACTTGGTTGATGCATGTCATCGTGTTCCAATTGCGTGGATCGAAGCTCATGATGTCAATCAATGGATGTATGGTCCAGACTCGATTATTTACAGACGCCGTCATATAGCTGAAATATTGCTGAGTGCGGCAACACACAAACAAAAAACAAACAAATAGTGTAATTATGTATCGCATATGCATATGGTATATAGTGTCGTATCCTATTTGTGTGTGTGTGTGTGTGTGTGTGTGTGTGTGTGTGTGTACGGTGCGAAGAGCAGCCGTGCACATGACCCGAGCAAGACCTTTGTAAATGCGACCCCAGCACTATGTTTGTAAATTCACTTTACTCATCCTGCTGTGGGTGCAGTAATTGGCCAATGTATTATTTGATTTGTGTTTCGAAGTCTCGAGTGCTACTCCATGGCAATGCTTTGTCACTTAAGGGGGCCAAATGGAAGGATAGAAAATGCCTTTCCAATCAATGGATAGTTGGTCTTGAAGACAATCAGCGGGGAATATGACCATAGTTGGAAGTATCATTTAATGTTAAACTATCAATACATTTTAGAAGCAACTTACCTTGCAGCCAACACAAGTATTAACGCCGACATATCTAATGTGGTATTGAATGACCACTTCGAAATTCCTTATTAGTAATACTAGGTACAATATTGTTTTTTTAAATAAATTTATATAGAGCATTAATATGTCATAATTGTATAAGATATTAAAGTATGCGTTCATCTTCTTCCTTGATTCGTTAAATGTAAAAGCACGTCAGTAATAGGATAATGCATAGTACATTCAAATTCCTTTGACCAATTACACATTAGGCAAACTTTGAGTGTAACAATACAGAATGCATTCATACCTTAACAGGATATGGTTCCGCGAATTATTATTGCATATGGGTGTTGGAAACTAGTAGGGATAACCTGATGAGTGAATGAGTGAGTTAGGTTTAACGCCGCTTTAAACATTATTCCAGTTACATCGCGGCGTGTCAGCTTAATGTGGGAGGAAAGCCCGAAGTGATGCAGGTCTCAGACGTTTACCACTTCGGTGAAACCCACGAGCACGGGTATGGTGCTGACAAACCTAGAAACATAATCGGGGCGAACCGGGATTCGAACCCACAATCATAGGTTTCTGGAGTGCCCAAGGGACGCAACTCTGCACAGCGAATCGCGGCGCCTTAGACGACTGGGCCACCCGTGCCCCCAATAACCTGATGAAGATATATTGAGATAATTGACCGATAGGTATCGCCCAGCGCTAATAAAGAGGCTAATGTAGTGACTGAGTGCTTTCATCTATGATTATCACCTCACTATGAGGGTAATAGAGAACGAATCGGTTGCCTGGGAAGGTGACATGAAAGTTGGAACAGACAGGGACAGTTTGACTGGGGCTTATAGCTGGGTGTACTGCTTGCGGGTTGTGTGACTTGTTGGGACATTGTGGGGGCTGGTTGTGTAACTTTGCTATTAGATTGGAGGTGTTTGTTGTCTCAGTTTTTTATTAGATCGTGTGTGGTTGTGTTAGTTTATTATCAGATCGTGGGTGGTTGTGTTAGTTTATTATTAGATCGGGGGTGGTCGTGTAAGTTTATCATTAGATCGGGGGTGGTCGTGTTAGTTTATCATTAGATCGTGGGTGGTTGTGTTAGTTTATTTTTATATCGTGGGTTGTTATGTGAGTTTATCATCATATCATAGGTTGTTGTGTGTGTTGGATGGTCGATTGCACGTTGTGGCTCTATGAGTCGGATGTCTGTGGTAGTTGTGTTAGTTTGGTTTTTTTCATAATATATTTTGCCTGTGTTGGTCGTTTGTTAAATTGTAGATGTGGTTGCGTTGGTTGTTAAATTGTTGTTGGTAGTTGTGTTATTTTCTTGTTAGATTGTGATTGGTGGTTGTGAAAGATATTGTCTGATTCGTTCTTGTGGTTGTGTGCGTAGGTGTGTCAGACAATGTATGGTGGCCTTGTGATCTGTAACTTCACGTACAGCAATACGGAAGATGTTTGGAATAACAAGGTTTAACTGTATGTCGCGACACATGTTCCATTGTGTTGTCAGTCCACGTAAACTCCTGAATGTCTTCCAACTATCCTGATGTACTTGAAATACTGTCAGCAAATTGCACAGTATTGATTACTTAAAATCGTTTAAGCCGTACATTCTTGTCATACGCCCCTTCAAAAGTGACCAAGTATAAAAAAGAACAAACATTTGTGCAACGGTTCGGAGGGAAATGTAAGCTTCATTATTTCTTGCTATTATTCCAAATGACGAATGTTTCAATGAAAGCTAATTCTGTTTCTTAAAATAGAGTTATTCCCACAGTGACCCCTGCAGTATTACCGCTAATGTCTTTCTTGATCTCACCGGCAAAGGTCGCATGTACGTTACTGCTGATACATTCTTATAATCACCGTCACCGTCACCGTCATCTTCATCACCATTTACAGCTTCACTCTAATATCCATAATCACCATCGGCATCGTTTTCTTCAGGGGGCACGGGTGGCCCAGTCGTCTAAGGCGCCGCGATTTGCTGTGCAGAGTTGCGTCCCTTGGGCACCCCAGAAACCTATGATTGTGGGTTCGAATCCCGGTTCGCCCCGATTATGTTTCTAGGTTTGTCAGCACCATACACATGCTCGTGGGTTTCACCGAAGTGGTAAACGTCTTAAACCTGCATCACTTCGGGCTTTCCTCCCACACTAAGCTGACTGGAATACTGTCAAAAGCGGCGTTAAACCCAACTCACTCACTCGTTGTCTTCATAACCGTCATCGCTGTCATCGTCGTGTTAGTCATCTTTTGGCTTCAGTTCTAACACGTTTATACGTTTGTTCAATTGAACTATGTAATTAGTAATGTAACCTGATGTTTATCTAGTTCACTGAAATGAGATATGGTGAATGTTAGAATCCTGACAATGGATGGACATGTCACAGCTTAATAGGGTTACCGGAGTAGATATTGCATTACTATTGGCGCCGCGTGTATTCCACTATATGATATAGTTGTATATTGAATCACAAAATTAACTAGGTAGGCAGGTAATGAATGTAAATTTGTATTCAAT